GACTTTAATGCATGTAGCTTTGTCTAGGATGATCTCATAAATGGGTTTTGATAATCCAAAAAGAAGTGCTCTCCTTTCAGTTATACTAGGATGCTCATTAAACGTAATATATTCTGACATAATTATAGAAAACTAAAATCTGTATACCGACATGACATACGGCTGCTCTGCAGTTGGGCATGGTTGTTAAAGAGAATCCTTTTCTGCCCAAACCATGTTATTATATTTTGAAACACAGGTACAAGGCTGTTTGTAGGGAGAAGGAAGCTCTCCCAGCAGCATTTCACTGCTCTGTGCTGTTTCTGTTAAACTAACTGGTCTTTTAGATCATAACTGTAATCAAGCTACCACCCTGTAACAATCTTCTGCCTTTTACATATAGTCTCTCACATTCTTTTTATCCATGGTGTGTACTCCCTGACCATCTCACAGAGCGTGACTTCAAATGCTGCACTCCAGACAGTATCACCAATTCCCCTTCCCCTGCAACTTCCATTATTGGGATATTCCTGGACAAAGGAAGCCATAATGATGTAACGATATGACTGATATAGAAAATACACATTTGAAATGCATTGAAAAGCTAAATGCTATAATGTTTTTTATATGTATGTATACATATAATGTTTGGTTTTGACATACTAGAACAAGCTTGTTCACCATATGAATAAAGACAGGTTTCTTTTAGGGTCCAGATGACTACTCAGCTTGTTGCCATCATATTTTGGAGTGGAACACCCATAGTTTTGTATTTCACACAGGGATTGCCTGCAGCTGACAAAGACAGCAAGCCAAATTCTGCTCTCAGTCAACTGAGGGAAACAGAGTGGCTTTCCTGGAACCTGAACAGGCATGCTGGGCTGTCATCAGTTAACTGAGCACATAGTCGGACCATTGTCTCTCTTACAAAAACCAGTGTAGTCCAATGACTTAAGCAGAATTTCTCCTACTTTCATTAGTACAGTAGAGAAGAATTTGGTCTTCTGCCACCTTTCTTTTCTGAGCATACAGCTTTTTTGGCTACAGTATAAAACTCCATGAAAAAAAGTTTTCTTAATTTGAATAGAGCAAGATTTTAAATAACATTAACTAGATTGAAGGGGGAAGAAGGCTTTCTGATAGTATTTTGAAGATTTTTTTTTTTTTCAGGAAATATAGTTAATTTGGAATTAAAAAAACCTGAATATATTCTGTAAATATTTTTATCTTGATGAGTTTCGGACCTCAATCAAGCATCAAAAGCTTCTAACTGGCTGTTCTGTAACCCCTTTGAATTTTCATTTATACCAGAACTGTCTCCCTTATGCAAAGCAGGAGAATGGGTCTCCTGGCATACAGAAAGTAGTAGTTCAGACAGCCTAAGACTATTCCTACCACAATGTTCTGTAGCCACTCTTCAGCCAATTTAAAATAATCCATTATTAAAAACATACAGTCTATGTTGTTACTCTTAATGTTGCTACTGGTAGCAGTTTAATTGGCCAATTGTACAGCCATGAAAATTTTCAAGTACATCTCACTTTTTCACTTTTGTTTTTACAAATGAACTCCCCAAAACTAAGTAAACTTTTAGAATCTTAAAAAATTTTCTCAATGTAAAAGTACCATCTGACTGGTATAAATGTAGAAGACATTTTTGACACACTGTTCACTACTCTTCATCCTTTTATATAGCTAAAATACCGCCAACTTTCATGCACTTAAAATCTCAAATAAAAATACTAGCATTACAAGTGGATGAAAAACTTTACTATCCTATCTGAAAAAGCAAAAAGAAATGAAAAGGAAATCACATACTAGAAAAGACAAGGTACCAAAGTGCAGGGTATGAGAGAGGGGAAAGATTCTAATTTTATTTTTTTTTAATCAAATAACATAGTTTAAAAAATTTTATAATGTACAAGACATGGATTCTAACAGATTTATTTTCCTAGTGAATTAGAAAGCAAATTTTAAGAAAAGAGGCAGAGTAAATAAGGAGAAAAGGCAAAAAGAAGAGCAAGAGAGTTAAGATAAATTACTCAAGGTGTAAAGGATATGAATTAGGTATTGTAGCAACGAAAAAAAAGAAAAATTTGGAAAGCAAAGTGATGGAAAAATGTAGAGGGAAATTAATGGAACAAGTTGGGAGTATGGGGCAACAAAATGGAAATTAGGACCTCAGAAAAGTTCCTAAATCTACATTAGGAAAGAAGTATTATGCTGTGTGCCTTATTTAAGCATAAATGCCCTGAGACTGGTAATGTAGCTATAGAAGTACAAAACTCAGTAGAGGATGATAATCCTGTGGAAACCGGTCATATACTCATGCAATCAGCCTGTGCTAACTATACTGTTAGCATTCAAATTAGGTAGTTCAGGTCTGTTTCTGCTGAAATTGTGTCACTGACGGCAGTACATCCATCTATGTGACAACATACAATCGTTCTTTCCCCTTTACCTTCACCACACGGAAAAAGAAAAAAAAAATCTTCTTCAAATCTGTTATCCTGTAATTACTCCTTACTCCCAGAATGCCTTTCTGGAATGGGACCTTTTAAATCCAATAGTTAATTCTTCTAGAAGCCATTTTGACTATACCATCTTTACTTCAATTGTAAGTACCCTTCATTTTTATGATATTGATTTTGCTTTTTCTATTACTGCAGAAGTGCAGTCTCATAGAGAACTGGTACTAGAAAGGTACTGGACTTACAGGGCTTGAAAATTACTGTCTTGGATAACAGAGTTTTGAGCAAGATCAGGACTGTAGAATTCTGTGGACACTGTGAGCTGTTTTAGAGACTGAGTTTATCTTGGGACCTTGGTGTTACAGGGTTTACTACTCTTATAAATCTGTACGTTGTGAGGAATGAGGAAGGTATGTCTTCAGTTTGGCTCTGTGCTTGTTTGTGGATGAAGCCCTTGGAAGTCTTTTAATTTCTTTTTTTTTTATTAATTTGTTCAACAGCAATTTTGTAGTTTGTGTTTAGCTTGGTCTGCAATGATCATGACCATGTAAATCTCACCCACAAGTACTGGAGGAGCCACAATCATCAGGAGTATGTTCTAAGATATATGGGCATATGCAGAGGGATATTTTTTGAAACAGTTGTCTTCTAGAGATTGGGGAGGGGAGGGAGGTGGTGACGGTGGCTTTGTAGCACCTGCTGTGAATTCACTAGCAGTAGCACATGCAAACAGACCAAATTGTTTTCATATCACTCAGCAGGGACTTCAATGAAAAAAAAGTAGTTTTCTTTTTCCCCCTTTGAAACCTCCCTATGATTAACTCAAACTTGAATAAGGAAGTGTGTGTAGGGAAGATCAGAGCTATTGTTCCTCCATTATGTAGCAGCTATCAATATTTTCCTCATGCTCCATAAAGATCTCTTTAGCTTTTTTTCTGATAGCTTGCCCTCAAAAAGAAGTCAATAAAAGAATAACAATGAAGCTTTAGTACATTTTAAAGTTCCTTCAGTCTTAACAGTATTTTCTTATTTTACACTATTTTACTGTTGCAATCTTCTGCCCATTCAGTCCAGAGTACTTCTCAAATATCATGGAGTTGGGGAGTGGGGGAAGTATGTCCTAAATATTGGCAAGAGCATATCCTCTTTTCCTATCATTGTTTTTGGTAAGGTTTAAATATAATTATAAAAGTTTACTAGTTAAAATAAATGTAGGTATGAAATTGCAAATACTGCCAAAATTAAATCAGCCTTTCTGTTGTGACTTCAAAATCAGTGTAATATTCTACAAACATTTGCTTCCAAGCTTCTTTTAAATTTTTTGGATGGACTTTCTTTTGTATTTTCTTTACATAACTGTGGTTCAAAAAACAAACAAAAATGCTGTGGATCTGAGTTAAAATGTATAAAGGTTTGTTCCTTTTTCATTTATATATTTAGTGAAAATAAAATGCAATTATTTTATTATAACTTATAATGTCTTCAGGTTTTTTTCAATATTAATAAAACTGTAAGCAAAACACAATATGGCTTACAAGCACAATGCTTCCCAGTTGCAGTGGAAAACATTTGTTGATTAGCTTCAAGAGGACCAGAAGCAAGATGCTGTTGAGCTTTCATTTTGCTATTATATGGAACTTCTCAATTAGAGAGTTTGACATTTTGAATGTACCTAATGTTTAACTGCTGTTTATAAGCAAATGTGAAAAATTACTATATGGTGGGTAAGGTGTGGCCCTGATATTCAGTTACTCTTAGATTGACTTCCTAATTCAACTACAGTCAAAGGTCTTGCAGAAGGTCATTCAGATGCTGTTATTCCTCTGAGAATGGGAAATGTGGTGGTAGTAAAACTGATTTTGAAAACAGGAGGGCTATAGTGATAAATATATTAACATATGTTGTGAGACAGCATTCATTACTTAGCCCAAATGCAAGGAATAATATTTACAAGCAATTCTGACATACTTTTTATGATACTGGAAAGCCTTCCTATCTTTTGCATGTAGTAAAAATTATCCTTAATCTTTACATTTATGTTTTTTCCCCAAGCTTCCACCAACACAGATTTTTATGAAAGTAACAGATGCGAAGTTTATGTAAAGGCTAATTCCTCTTCTTCCAGATGACCCACTTATGGTATGTACCAGTGTACTACACTGATCCCATAATCATCTGGCCAATGCACATGTTCATTCCATTGTACGGTGTCCTACAGATCCTGCAAACTTACTGAGAGAACCACAGCTGCCTGACCACACTGCCTACAGCACTGCTCAAGAGAAGTATTATGGGTAACAGTCTAATGGCTTTCCTTAAGTATCTTACCAAATAAACATCTCTCTCGTAAATCATATCTCAATTTAAATAAACAGTATGAATAAATGAAGTCTTTTCATTTTGTGAAATAAGAATAATGTCTTTGATAAACAGACATGACCTGGTTACATAATCTGTTTCAGGTTAAGATCACTTTAATATTGTTTTGCATTTGCTACTTCAGCTGCCTCTTCCTATATGATACTTATTATCAGAAAAGCAAGCAATTACCGAGACAATCTCGTCCTCTGCCGGTACAGTTGCTGCTGATAGTGCTGCTGCCAGTGCTGCTGCCCTGGCTGCCTTCCTCATCGCTCTCTGAGTCTGAAGATTGGTAAAGTAGTTGACAGCTGCAAACTCAATAAGTGCAGAGAAGACAAAGGCAAAGCACACAGCTATGAACCAATCCATGGCGGTAGCATAGGACACCTTGGGCAAAGAATGGCGTGCGCTGATGCTTAAAGTGGTCATTGTTAGAACTGTAGTGATTCCTTGAAAATAAGAGAAAGAAAATGGGGGCATTAGAACTTTGCTTCAACCCTGCTACTCTTAATTTCATACATATTAAAAAAAAAAAAAGCCACCTTTTTGGTTTTAGCTGTCATCCTATGTACCAGCTAATCAACAAGATTGCTAAGTATTTGGTATTCTTAAATAATTCACACATACTGGCTTCAGTACCTAAAGACTCTGAACAAAACTTCTTAATACACTGAACAGACTGAAGGTTAAGATTACTACATACTACATGGTGCAGCTGGTTAGAATTGTGATAAATATGGGTGTAAGACAATTCAGGCTCAAACTATGAAAGACGCTTTACTTGAGGAGTTAGCAAGTGGAATGTTTGGCAGAAATCCAGATAAACATACTGTCATTTCTCAACAGCAATCCTCTCTTTCTCCTGTTGTTGCACAAGACAGATCATGGCTTACAGAACCCTCACTGAATCAAATTCTGCATTAAAATCAGTGGTAGGCTACGATCCAAATATTTCAAGTAATAAGAGTTTGGTCCTCTGTGGTGTTGTCTTTAATCACTGGATACATTAAGATTCACTAACTGTATCTTAATTTGAAAGTGCCCAAATATGGAAGGACAGAAAAGCTGCTTCTCTAGAGCTGCTCATCTATTTTCACAGAACAAATCTGGTTGTGTAGTTCATGGGCACCATAGTGGTTTTTACATTAATTCATGAATTTATTCTTTCGGGTTTGGAGTGTACAGCATTAATAATGTAGGAAATATACTTACTTCCCACTGCTGCCCGATACAAGCAAAGACTGCAAGAACGAACTCATTCATTAACATATAAGCCTTTGTGACTCACATTTACTTATAATTATGCCTGCTAGAATGTGAAAACTGCAGGTATTTAAAGACTGTAAGGTGGAGAATACCTTCTTCTGCTCTTTTCTGCAGTTGGGAAAGGGTAGGTGGGAAAGTAAAAGATGTTATAATGTCATGTTGTGATGATGAATCAATATGCTCTGAATGATGCTCAGTGGAGAGGATGCAGTGTCATTGCATACTGCAGCATCAAGACAGGGTGACTCGGTTATTTTCAGATTTTTTTTTTGCAACTCTTTCACATGATGTAGCTTGCCAGCTGTCTGAGGTTAACTACGTCCCAATGTCATTATTTAACATGTTTTAATGAAATGCAAATAGGAAATAGTATAAAAATATGTAGGATCTCTACTTCTCCCAAATCTGCCATATTCATTTTATAATATGAATACAAGTATGCTGAGATATATTTCAATTTCAAAGGTCCAGAATGAACATTTCAATATGATATGTATTAGATTAGAATCTGTCCATGTGCTAGTTAGTAATAAAAATGATATATTCTGTGTCTGAATAAAAACTTACTGCAGCAGGAATTTAAACTTAGGAATAGGACTCCTATTCTATTACAGATATAGATAAGACTTCTCTCAATGCGGAGTGAATATTGATGAAATGCTCTGCAATGTGGAAAACTACTTTATCAAATTGAATGCCAAATTACAGTTGGTAAACTGTGTAACTGATGATTGTTTACCCTTGTCTTTCCACTTTGAACACTTCTTGGTAAGTTTTGAAGAATCTGTTACATAATACAAATACTGAAATATGTTATCTTTTCTTATTAAAAATGAAACAACAAAAAAACCCAAACACCTTTCCTTATCTGAGACTTCATAGTAAAGTTTAATGACTAGATATTAATTTAGAATTCCCAGGGTGACCTGCTGGGAAGGTAGAAGCTGACTACTATCTTTCTGCAAAATAACAGATGAACTTTTTGCCGGGAATGAAACAGACTAGATATAAGCACATAAAAATGTGAAATAATAGCCATTGCTATATGGATACAGAGCATACTTAAAATTAGGCCTCTGATAACCATGTTTCTTATTCTAAGTCATTTCTGATAATGCCATGCTTCATAAAACTTCACACATATATATGTATATGCATAGTGACGTACATAACACACGTAAAATAAGGAATTTCATACTAGCAATCTGCTTTTCTTTCCAGTGACACAATTATAAAGAATACAAAAGTGCCTCTTCAAGTATTTCTGTCTCCCATTTTTCACTTGCAGGTCTGTAAAGAGTAGGTACTTATGACCATTAATTTTATCTTTGCAAATGTTCAGAGTATTTATTGTAATATTACCAGCAAATGATATCTGGCATCTATTTTGGAGGTAAACAGAGTTGCTAAATGAATTTGTCCTGAGAAACTGGTTTGGGCATACCATTGTTATTCTTCTACTATTAATTTCTCTTTTCTCAAACTTACAGTTTGGAAACATAGAAGAAAACCTTAAAATTTATAATTAAATTATTTGCAATATGATGCAGAAAGGAGACTTGCTTCTCCATTTTAAACCTTTTTTTACTAGGGCTTGGAAGTATTTTATGTTATAAGGAATTTGCCCTCTTTTCCTTAGATGACAGTATTCAGAATCCATGGAATTTTGAATTAGTAAGGACTATAAGTTCAAACTGTGCCTGTGAGAAATAAGAATAGAGTAAGAATTGAAATATTCTTTTAAAATGCCAACATGTCTGATTTTCCACAATACTGAGAAAGATGTTTATTTTACTATTTTTATAAAATATTTTCTGTTTCTAATTCTGTATGACATTTAAGAGTTGTTATTCCAGGGTTTGGGGTATCTGTGTAATTATTACTGAATCAGCTAAAGACCTAAATTACTTCAAGCATATAGAACTGAATTCCACTGCCCCCTACACAGGAAATAAGTTTTACTCAAAATGTCGAGGATGTAACTGTATAGTCCAGAGATGCATATAAAGCCAAATCAGGTAGCATCATACTTGGTGTACAAACCTCTTATATATATTATATGCTTCAATTGCAATAAACATCCTTGAAAATCTATTGCCTCATACTTTAATATTTGTAAGCACTTAAAAGAAATCCCCATTGCCAGAAAATAATACTTTTAAGTGCCTAATGATGCCAAACTGCATCCCAAATCCCAGTGGGGATTTCAAGAACAGAAGTGTTGATCTTCCTTCAGAGGCACATGAGGAAGCTGTATTCACTTAGCATTCCTGAAAATTTGTAATGCTTTTATGAATACCACTCCATGTACGTAGGAAATGCCAATTGACTGAAATCAAATTATACAAATTCTGTAGCCTGCTTACTACAATTATAGACTGATTTTGAATTATGAAACTTGCATTATTTATGCTTAGGGAACATATAGCTGCCTTTTGTTAGTGACGACAAGTCCCACAAAGGGAATGTTCCATATAGAAATACTGGGTTAAGAAAAAGTACAGATGCAAAATGGCTATGTATGGGCAATGGATTCATGAAGTTTTTGACAAGTTTTATTATTTTTCCTTAGTATTTTAATGATTGTTTTTCTAGAAACAATTCAGTCAGTGAAAGTTTACCCCTTAACAAGTGCAGTTACAGAGCTTATCAGTGCTGAAGTGGGAGGTGTGTGTAAAATTTAATAGCAAAGCATGCACTAAAAATTAAGGAGACAAAACTCACAGCTTTGGAAGCATTAATTCAAAGCACTGGAAAGAAAAAAAGGCCTTGCTGTGCAATATGGACACACCTTTCACATTACAACTCCAACCTGTTCTATTGACAGGATTCATCTCATCTATCTCTATCCATCTAAGGTCCTTGCTAGCTGTTTAGAAACCTTTTTAGACAAGGGGAAGAGAGCACTTCAGAATGAGCGTTAGATGAGGTACCTTATGTCAGAGATAAATTCCATCCCATGTGATTTTTTTCTTTTAAAGCTTTAACTCATATTGGTTTCACAAGACAATAAATCAATAGTAAAATTCCTATTTAAAAAACGGAGAGATTGACATTTACTCTGAAATTGTCCCTTCCTGCATATGAAAAAATATTGAGGGGTAGAAAAACATCACAAACAAGTCTGGCTAACCAAACATTCTGAGTAAAGAATTTTGACCCTTGTAAGCAGATTGAATATTATTTGGTTTAATTTTAGTATTTACTTCTGTTCACTGAAACCTACTAGCTGTCTTTTCCAGTCCCCGCTGGATTACAGTAGCTGTTTGATACAGTGGATTCAATAAGTGAATGAAGTGAATAATAAAAGAACAAAACATGAATACCAGCCACGGTTCTTGCTGGAACAGATTCTTTGTTGATCCAAAACACAACTTGAGACAGGACTACAGTCATGATGCATGGAATGTATGTCTGAATGAGATAGTAGCCTATTTTCCTTTGAAGATGGAAATAGAGCAGCTGAAGTGAATATTCACCTAAAACAAACAAGTTATGAAAGTAATGAATGAATGGTATATGTGATGCTAAGCTGTTCAAAGACCTTAATGCAGCATACCAAAAACTGTTCTGGCTGGAACAGACTCCTTGTTAATCCAGAAAGACACCTGAGAAAGAATGACTGTCATAATGCATGGAGTATATATCTGTATCATGAAGTAGCCCATCTTCCTTTGCAAATGGAAATAAACGGTCATGATTACATATTCACCTGTTAAGAGACAAGTATGTCAGCACATTTTAGCAACAAATGAGTAAACATTATTGGCTTAAACCCTACATGCTGTGTTCTGAGGAAAGCACTTACAGGCATCCTAGTGCATAATAAAAATAAGCTGATTAAAAAAAGGTAAAGTGACCACATGGAAACAGAGGAGAATAATATTAATTTCATGTATTGTTTTTACTGGGGCAGGGAGACAGGGGGAATTCTTAAGAAATGCATGAAAAATTGTATGCTTAAAGGGACTGTACTGAAAAGCTATCTTCTAAGAGACAACGGTTAGATTATTTGCAAGGGCTTTAGCTTTTAAAATGGCAAAAGATAATTAAACTAATTTGATTCTATATGAAAAAAAACGCAATTTATTTTCAAGATATATTTTATAATGTCAATAGTTCCTACATGGCTACATCTTACCTGTGTTAGATTTAATTGTTTCACTAGATACAGTTTGTCCTATGAGGTCATACTGGAGGAGACTGGAAGACTCCTGTGGTACTTCTACCGAATGCAGGGGTCCTTTTTTCCATGTGTAAATTATTTCACTTTTTGGATAAGCATCTGAGTAACAGAGGGGAAAAAATACTATTATTAATTATGTAATAATATTAATTTTGTATAAGCAATTGAAAAAATAAGTAGCATGATCCATTTTGTGGCTCAAATGCCCATAGAAACATGTATCCTGTTCCAGCAAGTTCCTAACCTCATTAATGACAAAATGCAAAAAAAGCAACATGAGAATGGCTGAGGTGGGACCTGATAGGCACTAACTTTTGTTTCTTAATTTGCTATAAAACACATACATTGATTATCACAGACCAATTAAATGTTTTCAAAATTGATTACCACAGATCGACTAAATATTTGCAAAACTAGAAGTAATACAGTAAATGTACCACAGCTTTTATGCCTTGTTGACTATTAGATGTGAAAGAATAATAAACAATAAAATATGCTTCAACAGTCACTCTTCAGAAAATAAATCCATGTTCTTATGAATGGTCTGGGTCTCAGCAGAGAAAGTAAGATTCTAGTATAAAAAAAAGCTACACCATTAAGTAGTGTCCTAGGATCTCAATTCTGATCTCACATACATGTAGACCAAATGTATTACTATAAAAACTGAAAGATACAGAAAAACTTACAGCTTCCAAACTTCAATGGACAAGCATGTCCATCCATAGGGAAGTTCACCAACCGCATAGGACAATCAGCATTAATGGTTAGTCTAGAATACATTATAGTAGATGACAGTGAAAAAAAATTATATGCAGGAATACTGCTGAAAGAATCAAAAATAAAGGTCAACCAAAAGCAGAATAGTCTCTCACCTCATTGTGTAAAGAACAGTTCCATTCTGCATAATTCTGAAAAGTTTGTTAGGAGTTGTCATATTATGAGCAATTGATTTTTTTCCATTTCTAAAAAATGTGTCTGGTGTCCAAATTTTACTGACCATTAAATTGTTCAATTTCAAAATTTCAGTTGGCCCAGTAAACTTTAACCTCTCATCAGTCCATGTCTGCCGAAAGAAGACATCCATTGTGTATTCCTATGGAAAATAAATACATGGTTGACTTACGTGTGGGAGCCAGCAGTCCCAAGTATATACAGTAACTCCATGAAAGAACCTAACACACGTCAGTGGCATTTAATTTACTGCTTAAACCTTAATCCTATTACCATTAAGTAGTTACTAAAAAAAAAAGTCTATGAAAACATATCCTATTTTCCCATTATTTAAAGAGTAGTTACAAATTAATCAGTGAACAGATAATTTGATATGCATAAGGAAAAAAAACCCTCATTGTCCTCTCAGAGATAATAAATTAATTCAAAGTGATTGAGGTCTAGGAAATACAAATGTCTAATTTAGTATCCTTTCAAACTGCAAAATCAAACTATCAATGTTTAATTGCCAGGAACAAAAAGACATGCTCAGTGCCTCTTCGGCAGCTTACTTTGGATATTCACAAAGAAAGGACTGATTTGAGTGAATCACATCACAGTAGGATTATGGTGTCAAGTCAATATTAATCTAAATTATTTTTGTTAAGGATTCTTTGTAATATTCTCGCAAGACTTCTTTCAAGGAGTTCTCGACAGAAGTTGCTTAGGAAATGGAACTAACCCTTGGCAAGAGGCAAATTTTGTAAGGCGGCAAGGTTATACATTCTCTTAGATTGACTGATGCAGAAAGGTGGAAAAACTTTTGGTTGTAACTTGGGGCCCAGAGCTCCTTGTCTGCAAACTGGGCTGCAGGGTCAGGTGGGCAGGTATCAGAGGAAGTGTACAAGGGCAAAAATTGTGACCAAAGTAAATTTCCATAATGAGAACGGAAATACCATCCTGACTCCGATGGCGTAATGTTTACCTGGGGCTGCTGCTGTTATTGACCGAGTTCACCCAAGCCTGCAGCCACCTGAATTTGGGGGCACTGTGCATGGCAAGGGGCGGCTGTCTCAGAAATGGCACCATTCCCCCGCAGCTGCTCATGAGGTGTTCTTCTACTCACAGCCTTCCTGCAAACGTGTGTTGGGCCACAGGTGCTGCTTACAGTCTTCCCACCGAGGCTAAAGAGGCTCCCCTGACCATCCATGCCCCCCCCCTCCCCGAGGCTAGCGGGCCTGGGCCACCAGTTGCCCAGGAGGGCTCTGCTGGGAAATAGCTATATGCGGCTGCAGCCAAACTGCTCTGTGGGGCCCTAGAGATTGTCAGGAAGATTAAGCCTCGTAATCTGCTTTAATGACGATCGACTCGGATGTCACCGTAATGAATCCGGGAAATGGAGGGCAGGGGTGGCAAGCGGGGCCCTTACCATCTCCACGTCGGACACCGGCCCGAAGCTGGTCACGTAGATGTCCGTTTTGACTTCGGTGACGGCGCCTGCGGGACACGGAGCTGAGCTGGGACTGTCTCTT